CGGGACAGTGTATTAGAGCTGCCTATGAGTCCAGCCGTCTAACCAACTAAATAAGGTAGTTTCGAGATTATGTTGCCTCATAGACTGTAAGCTAACTATTCGGGCAACCAGAGAGCTTTCATTCTACGGTCCTGCGTTTTGGTTTCCTGAAAAAGTAACCTCGACCAGTGTGTTCAGGGTTTCTTACATACATTAAAACGGAGTAGAATTTTGGACCAGTCACCATTTGTCCTTACCTCCACGGAAAGCCGATAGGTGTCTTAGAGGTCGTTTGCAAACACACGCTCGACCGAAATTATCGAACAAACCTTACGAGAAATAGAGATTTCAATCCGACAGTGTGTGGTAGAAATCTAACCGATATTATGAGACCAGTGGGCTGTGGATAGAATATATTTTGTGATCGATAAGGTCGATCAGAGCTCCAATTCGCGTTCAATCGGACGGTCACTGCTCATACGACAAATGCTTGAGAACCTGTTCCGAGGAGCACACTTTGTGTGCCAGAGAACCGGAGATCATGAAGCGTCATACCACACAGAAGTATTTCCTGAGTTGTTGATAGCAAGATAGGTAAGACCCGTCGGATTACACGGTTCGCACCTTAGCAGTGGTCACGTTGTTTTTTTTTCAACTATACTCTACTGATAAGTTCCTTGTTACTTTCCAAAATTGCTCCAACTTGATTTCTGCTTTGGAATTCCGTGGATAGCAGATTCCAAAATGAAGCCATTAGGGATAAGATCTTCCTTCTTCTTCAGACGTCCACGATCCATAATGCAGGAATACAACAGTAGACATGCGGGGCTGTATACATCATACTGATCAGGTGAACGTTGGTAAATAGGTTTGCGATCGAGTGCGCAGTCTCTTATCGTTAATTCTGTCTAGTCTATTGTGACTTGTGGTTCACAACCAATAGGGAATGAGTACCACCTATATAGGATTCGAGAGGCACCGTGTCGGAAAAACGTCGACGAGTTGTCACCCAAAATTTGGCAGCAAGAGTCAGAGGAAGCTATTCACTAATTAACGCATCTTTGGCTCCAACGCGGACAGGTTTCCCAAAGAAAAGTTCGCCGATGTGTCAACTTGCCATTCATACTTCAGGATTTGTGGAATATTAAAGGAATTCTGTGCACCGCTGTGCTCAAACTGCATACGAGGTTCACTCACCAGCTGGTTAGTCTGTGATGAATAGAACCATGATTGTAAAAGGAAAAGGTCCTGGAGAAGGCCCAATTTTTTTTACTGTTTCGCACAATGGAGGGACAGTATTCTAATACTGAATGGATTCGACTTTGGGTTGAACTGGAATGCTTAAACTTGAAGTTACATGGTGTTCTCCCGATGCGTTCTCCATGTAACAAGCATTTATCAGAGCCACTAGATATCCGAGGATATCATTTTACTACGACTGTGTACTCCGTTTTTCAATCAACATAACATCTAGGTATTCGCTGCGGTTCGTAAGCAAAGGCCCCTCAATTTATCTCTGCTGTTGCATTCGTTCAGCTTTTTCTCAAATCAAATGAGATGAGTGCTCATTGATAACTCAGCAATTCTGATGTGTTTTGACCGGGGAGGACTCTTAACTAGCGTAACATTAAGGAACTAAATTAGGACGCAAAGATTTTCTAATCACATCTTGGTCCACAATTTGTCAACATGCCAAAAAGTGCACAACCACCTAGGCCTGAGAGGCAGCCTTTGATGGCGTTCATACATCTAAGCTGTTTCCTTCAATGCGTCGCTTCCCACCCGGACTTCCCAAATGAGAAGTTCAACGACACCCGTGCACCAATTATATCAGTTACGCCTCCAACCAAACCAACTTCCCTAAATCATCGGCGGACGAAACTATGGCAGCTGAAATCACTGAACAACAAGCGCGCAGTTTTTACGGCTTTATTTGGAAGTGCTCGCTCGTGAAGGCAAAGCATCGAGCCGAAGAACTGTAGAATGTCCATCCACAGTAAAACAACATGAGGGCAGAATTATAAAGGAAGTTTTCTACCGATTTACTGGAATTCAGACCGGCTGTGTCCTCCAAGTTTGACAGAAAAACAATTTAATGCTAGTGTATAAAAAGCCATGCTTGATGCTTCCGACCAGATTAGCATCTGATTCTACTTGAATATGGTGATAATTTTAACGAACAAACAGATGGAGAGTGACAAGGCTATTGCTTTTTTGTTTCCACGACAAGATGTCCTTTGCTCTCCGCTTCTGCAGAATGGACTATTCTGCTTTCTAGGTTACGTTCTAAGTAATACATGTGACTTGCCCCTTGAAGCACACCTTGTACTTCACTAAAAACGGTTAACAGTTCAGAGCATGTGTTCTTTCTATACATTCTTCCCAACAGTAATGCTTCCGACTTGTTAGCATTTGTAAATCACTCACCTGTGACACTAGTTACTTACTTATACTTGCAACAGTGTACCTCTGCCAGTAACCGCAATTCATCCTTTGTCACGTCCATCCGAACCTTTAATAATGTACGTTGGTGCTCAACCCGTGTTTGTCGGCAAGACAGACAGTTTCACCATGGACCTCTGGGCTCTCGTAAGCACTGTATCATGGTGTGCAGCTTATCCGACTCAAGTCTGGCAATGCCAGTGATTCTGATCCCCTTCCATTCAAGTTGTTCGCGTTATTGCCAAAAGTTATGCAGCCGGTGCCTCGATGATGGAAAAAATTGCTGAAGAGTGGAAAGATGTACTCTTGTATTTTATGGCGTTCTTTGAAGCGTCAACTAGTCGCTTGCACATCTGTTGTACTGAAACTGCTTGAATGTTAACGAAACAATGGCTATTCTGTTACTGGTTAACTTCCACGCGATCGCTGCATATCTAGTAAACTCGAAAACTTGTTAACTTCAACTTTGTAGTAACGTGATTCGGTTGCTAGTTCAGGACCACATGACAGAGGTTATGATACAGGTTCTAACTAAAGACGGCGATTTGGCCTATTCCAACCTTTCGCAAAAGAAGCTCAGATTAGGATCCAAGCCGACCAAAGCTCTTTCCCACCCTGAAAATGCAGGTGCTTGAAAAGGGTTTCCTTTTATTTCCTCATATGTCCCGACTTTACGATCAGTACAAGTTGATGACGTACATGGCCGGACAGGCGAGGCGCATAGAGCCTATTTGAAGGTGAATACAGGGCTTGATATACTCACGAGGCAGTTTGAGGGTCTTTTAATGCCAATCGCAGTCCTAAAATGTTTGACCGTAGGATTAAACGTCACAGAAGAAAGGCTACTGCTACTAATTTAATATCTCACAGTTATCCGTAGTAAAGTACTAGTACTTTAAAACTCAAAATGCTGCATGTGCCCACATCCCTATCCCCAAGCCTACACAGAGGAATTCGAGAGGCGGAGGTCGCATTCGAACCACGGGCTTTCCGGTCAGTAAATTCGCGCTCTAACCACTTGAGCCATCTCGCCCCATGACAACTGACTGCTTAGAAAGTCAGGAGCACTAAATGTACCATGATATTCGTAGCTCGGATGCGTCTGTTAGTGGCCGTGTTTTGTTTACCGCGTTTGGCAACAGATTGTCACCTAAACTGGCGGCGAAACGTTTGCACACTGATCGACAAGCTCGGTGAACAGATCAAGGGTTATCTGCTCAACCAGCAATCGTAACCTAACAATTTGGTTTCAATTAGAACATAAGTTTGACGGAAACTCGGGGATTGCGCCTACCTGATTGGCCCCAAGAAGAGCGACACCGGTCTTTGGCTGCCGAAGAATTTTCAGCAACATTACGAGTAGTGTACTATGAATATACATGTATCGTGATATCTCGAGTATCGGAGCAACTGAAACATGAGACGGCCTTGTGCCGCACCATCAGTTGCCTGGAAACATCACAAACGAGAGATTCAGCTGGGTTCTAGGTGAATCACTCGCAAAACCGAATTTGTTAGCAAATGAGTGTATTTCGCTAGTTTCGTGCAATTTGGCTTCAAGTAGAACATAAATTTGACGGAAACTCGGGGACTGTCTACCTGACGAGCCCCAAGAAGGGTGAATTACGATTATACGCTAACCTACCAATTGGTGTAAGGAACGGGACAAACCTTATTATTTCGGCTTCGAGTAATCAAGTTTATCAATCAACGCCATGTGTGATCTGGCTCGAAACTTGCGACTGATAAGACGACCTACTCCCCCTATTTAAAATACGGAAGGTGTAAACCTGACATAGTGGCAATTTAAATTCCTTTGCCTAAAAGTACTGATCAGAAAGAACTTCAAGCAGCTGAGCAATACGAACACGCAAGAGCCAATGCAGAATTCAATATACCAGATCCAGTTAACTTTTGCAAGCAGGTCAGTTGAACACTGGGATATTCATCGTGAACAATCCTATGGAATCAGAAATATAGTAGTCGGTTTTGCATCTCACGGAAAAATTTCACAATAAACCGCACCTAATGAAGCGTTGGATTGTAACCCTCTGTTATCAAAAGTTTGAGAACCTCCTGCACATTCACGAAGGAACTGAAACAGTTGAACGGTTGCAGGCGGTTTGAAGCTTCACCTGAGGGTGAACATCCCTCAGATTTTGAAGTACCAGGTTGTTCAGTGCACAAAAGGGCAACCATCATTATTTAAGCAAATGTAGATTGTGATACTCTACGTTGGTATAATACGGTTGCTTTGAATGATGTTTTTTCTCAAGAGGAATACCTGTTTTTATCCACTATAACGGTTCGACTCATGGAAGCTATTAACTTACGTCTCACGCTAGATTAACAAATCTGGCTATTTCACTGTAAGTATAAATCTAACTTCGAGGATTTTCGCCGCCGTTTATACATTTTAGCTCCTTACTCACAGTGACGGGTAGAAACACTGTACAATCTGCGCAAGGGTTCCACTCGGTCATGATGTCAAATAATCTCAAGGTGACTCGAATTTGGCTTGTGTTTATCGACTGTTGGACAGATCAGCACGGAATTTTAGGGAACAGAGAACAAGCGTGATTCGGAAGCAGCATCTATTTGGAGAGTCGTGGAGCGTCACAAACTCGGTCAGAGAAAGAGTAAATAAGTTGGAAGAATAGGGAGTATTTTTTTTATATAAAAAAGAAGCCAAGAGAAACCAGGTAAACACAGTTCGGGAGCAGCCTCTGACTCCAAGGGTCGTCATGAATAAGAAATGCGCTCATTTTGACGGCACAGAAAGCAAGAAGTAACTCGCTGATAATAATAATAAGTTTAAAGAGGTTGAATCTTTATGACACGTTTGGCGCTTCGCTGCTAAGGCGGCATAGGGAAGGCGAACAGTGTGTTCATTTTTTGTGCAATAACGTCTGGGTCAAACTGAGGTCAATACCGCTTCTCAGCTGTACCGGTGTGTTGTGGGCACAAGAACCGAAGAGTTTGAAGGCATGATATTACGAGAAGCCGGGTTTTGAAATCCGGTGGTCCACCAGACATGTGGTGAGTTAGAAGGAAAATTAAGCCATAACGATGAGGCATCCGGGTTCAGAAATGCACCACCATCTGAGGATTTCGACAGAGGTGAAACGGAGTAGCCTACCGAACGATCGCGTAGTTGCACGGCAACAACAGGCTGTGTTGCGCAGTCGGATTCGGCGAAGCCGCTATCTCGTGTGGCAGGTCGTTTCCTAGAAGGCTTCAAGTTTGTTGGAGTAGAGAGCGGATTTAATATCTGATGCTGCGGTCTATAGGACCAATCTGGATGAGATGGCTCATTTGAGCCAGGAATGGCGAGACGAGACGTAGAGTGGCTTGGGTGACGGGACTGATGTACGGAAGTTCGGTCAAGCTGGGAATGGGCCCTGGCCACCAACGATAAGTAGGAGGGGCTGCCTACAAAGTTTTGATGTGAGAACCATTGCGTCGCCCGGCCCAAGTTCATTGATTGATAAATGGGCAACTCATGGTTTACATTATTCAGCTGTCCCATGGGTGCCTCAGGTACACGTGTGTCGGAAGGAAATGATCCAATAAGTTTTGGCGCAGGTTTTCGATTCGTCAAACCCTCGTCCGCATCCTCAGCAAGACTAAAACACCTCCGAAGACTGGAATATTTCGGTTTAAAGTCATAGGTGGCGAGACATGTAGACGGTGTGGCAGGAGGGTTGCTGTGTCCATCTGAGCGTTTGCTATTACCGGGACCACTCAACTGATTCGGAATTGCGATGGAATGTGATTTGCGATGGGACTGAATGATACTCTCACTGTTCACTGGTTCGCACACGGACTGGCAAGATTTTTGCATGGTGGTTCTTGAGCTACCTGCACGTCGCCAAGTGACCCGGAGACGACGTAGTCGCTCTGCTATCCATCTAATGATGGGAAGCTGAAGAGCTGTAATGCGAAATCAACAAAAACAGAGTAAGCAACTGGGAAGTGTGACGCAGAAAAGCACTTTGATAAGGAAGTTTGATCAAAGAAAGGTCTTAGAAAAAAATCAAAGTACCTTTTTCCTGTTTCCCGGACACTGCAACTAGCCAAGCAGTGTCTTTCACGAGCCAAAATTACTAGAGGAGTGCCACGTTAATGTACATGAGAGCTGATAAACTACACCTACCGAGAGAGTTGGTCAAAATGTTGAACACTGACGTTTTACTGAACTATCTGTTTTGGATAATGCAGGTACTGGACGAGATGTTTCATCCTTTGAAAGATTTAAACAAGTTCGCGCCATTCCTACAGCTTTCTGAGTCAATTGGCTTCCTTGTGAAGGTACTTTGATCGTGCATTTTTCTGCGGGTCGTGATGACAACCGCCGGCTTCGGAAGATTCCGGAAGAGTGAAAAACGCACCACAAACATCTCTGGGTTTCAGGCACAGAGCTCTCAGCAAATTTTCTCATTTATATCATCACCTGAAGCAGCAGCAGCAACTATCATACAGTGGTTCCCTCTACTATATATTTTTTGGAAATGGTACGCACTGTAGCCGATGAGTCCATGTACTCTTGTGTGGATAGAGTTGCAACGATGTATACGCATGGACCACGATTACGGTAGGGATGAATGAGAAGAGGGCACCACAAATTAGCGAAAACAACTCCAGTACGAAAATGCCAGTTGAGCAGTCGACTGAGTCATGTGTGTCAGCACCTCTAACCACTAATGTAGCTTGCCTCAGAGTCCGGATGTAGAGGGACGGCAGATGTTAGCTTGGCCTAGTTTGCTTCACTACCAGGTGATATAGTTTGTCGATTTCTAACCTACATGAGAATGAATGAGGAGAGCTCCGTCAGCAAATAATGTGTTGGCACCTGAGGATAGGTAAACAGCACAATCCAGTCATCCATATGATACATGCTATCCTTAAGACTGTATGGTGTTCCCACGAGACAACAGTAGTGCTTCGGAGAACTACGCTCCAAACGATGTGATTTCAAAACCACAGACTTCAGAGGTTGATGAAAGCCGGTCTGCATTATCCTATTCCCGCGATAACTAGCTCCAGAGACGACGTAAAATAGTTTAAACAGCATTTGACTTAGACAGGCAACTAGATTATTTATAGTTAGTTGGTGGGGACGAAAATTCAACGCTTCCCGAATCAAAAACCATGAGAGTTGCTCAGAGAGTACACACCCCACCGCAAGAAGCATGGGCATTCCATTTAGAAAGTTGGGGAACCGGTGGGGAACCACGTGGCGTGAACTACTAGGTGTAGCTGCAAGTTAGTCATATTGTTCAACAGCCAATCGTGACAATATTAACCAGAAGGGGGGGGGGGGGGGCGAAAAGTCCTAGAGATTCAAGAGATAAACGAAGCTAAAGTTAACAAAAGAACTTTAAACAGCTGAGGGTTTCTAATTTTTTTCAAAATAGATTCGATTCAAAATTTCACCATTCAAGGATATCCCAATTGGCCTTCTAACCAGTGATAAACTCTCACAGTGGGCCTAATACTTACTCCAAATTTAGTTGGTTGCATGAACCTTGTCTGTTGTCTCGGATCAACAGTTTGTAAAAGCTAAGCAAAAGGCCAAAGTATCCACGTGCGCCCACCTAAGGAGACACAGACGGGGCGAGTGCATAGATTTTTGGAGATTCAAACACATTTTGTCAACGAGGATCGTCAAAAAACATCCACATTCGTGTGCAAGAGTGGACAATCGAGACACAGCTAGTTCACGTAAACCAGGCAGAAAGACATCCGTAGAGTGGGCAACCGTTGCCAAAGAAGATTCGGACATCACATGCGATTTCAACCACAGTGATACCGATAACTGACTTTCTGCAGCCAAGAAAAAGTGGATTCAAAAATAAAGATGAGCTTTTTTTTCTATCAGGATAGGTAGCATGAAACTCCTAGGAGGGGTTACCTACTGGAGTGGGGGTCTACCAAATAGTGCGTGCTGCTACTGGGTGTCAAAACCAACAGATGTGCCGAAGCAGTTGGATCATTGAAGCTGGAGCTTCCTTGAAAAACAATTTGGTTTACGATGTGTACAAAGCCAATCGTTTTATTTGAAATTCTATAGACTGAAAGCCTCAATCATTCCCAGAAGTTCCGGAATAAATCAATAAGAAATTGGGTGTTTATATTCCCTCATACATATGAATAAAATAACTATACCCTCAAGTGACAGCTTGCAAATTTGATGAAAAAGAGGACAGATAAGTATGATAAAGTAGTTTTAAGTGCAACTGAATTACAGCTGGAACCTATCGATTTAAAATCAAACGAAGTGCTAGGGGAAGCAATCCGGAGGGGGAGTTTGTGATTCTGAAGATAGTCGTTTGAGAATTTATCGCAGTTGAAAAAAAAACTTTGTGTTGTGACAGCTGTGTTGAGAAGTAATGTGATTGTGTGAATAAATCTTGTCAGAGATAAAAACGAAACAGAGCTAAGTAGCAGCCATTTAAAGGCGATTCATGCAAACACGACAAGTAATTTAATTCAACGACTAACGAACAGCCAAAGGCCAGCTGCGTTTATCCTAGTGATGGAGGTCTGAGGGTTTGTTATGTGTTGAAACAAGAAGCCCGGCTTCCCGGAAGGAAAATTATCTACTTGATACGTAAAAAAAAA